AAGTATTTTAAACTGTATAAAAAAAATTGAAATCAATTGTGAAAATCCATTCCTTATATAGGACGTTCCCTCCTGTTCATTCTTCCGCCTTGTTTTTTGGTTTTAGGTTTCTCATTCTAAGTCTTCTTTTTAAATCCTGTTCTAAATTTTCAATAGGATTGAGGTCTGGACTTTGAGCGGACCAAGGGAGAACTATAATATGATTTTCTTCCTTCCATTGATTTGCTACAGCTGCTTTATGACATGGAGCATTATCTTCTTAAAAAATAAACACATGACCATGACCACAACCATCATTACTATCACCATCACACCACTATTCTCCTCTCTTAATTCATTAATATAAGATAATAAATTTTACAATAAAATAAAAAAAGTACATCAATGCAAATAAAAAAAGAGCCTCTGTTATTAATACATCTTCTTTAGGAGATTCACATTTTGTCATCTTTGAAAAATAAATTGTTTTTCCATCTTTTCATACATAAATAATTAATGTGTGCGCATTTGTCAATCAATATTCTTTTTTTAAGAAAATGTCACAACAAAACAATAAAAGAAAAAAAAAGAAATTGAACAGGAGGCAGTTTCTGAGTAAATGTTATCATAAGAATGGTGGTTATTTCCACTTGTCATCACTCTAGTCAGTAATTAGTAATTAGTTGTGTAATGTTGATTTTTTATTGATTTTTTAAAAAAAAACTAAAAGAGAAAAGTATTTAATGAAACAGGAGCTGTATGCAAATAAGTGTCATTTATTAAAAAGAACAGTGGTGGTCACCACTTGTCATCACTCTAATTAAATAGTTTGCTAAGAAAATTTGCCAAATTTATATTATAATGTCAGAAATGATCCAAATTGTAATTACAGACTGATCTGGGAAATGAGAATGATATGGTTAAGCTTATTTCACAATATTATTCAGAAATTTCTTTATTGCTAAGAAATTGATTTGAAAATTATGTATATAGATGGTATATAATCTTAATATTGCACAAACACCATTAACTGTGAATGGATCACATTACTAGTAAATCAAATGTAAATTAATATATGAATCAAAAAAAAAAATGTTCAGGAATACACATGTACAAAAGTAAACACAATTGTTTATGATAAATCAGCCACCAGGACCAACTTTATTGTATTTATTTCAATTGAATATACAGAATTATAATTATTCTGAATCAACAGTTGAGTTACCTTCTTTCTGTCTTTCAGATTTAGGTGTGAAGCCATGTGTTAATAATGATTAAAATATTACAAAATATCAATAAAGTTTCTATAAATTTTACTACTATCAGAAAATCAGGATATTGTACAGGTTATTCTTGATTCATATAAATGGTAATAGCAATCCATATTTGCTGGATCTGGTGCTAGCGATATTTAGTAGGACTGCTAATGTGTTTTCTTGTAAGTTCATTAACCTATTGTTCATGTTATAAATGTCTCTAACTGAACTGGTTCTCAATTTTGTACAGTTGCATCTATGAACACAGTTATAAAATCTTCCATTATATCATTTCTGTTATTATGATTGCTATTACCATTGTCATTAGTTCCCACTATCATTATGGTCATCATCGCTATCATTTATTTGCACTTTGTAAAGTATAAATGTGTTGGGAGAAAGTGCAAGAGGTAATACCAGAGTTTACTTGCTGATGGTTAAATCAATTATTATTATTATTATTATTCATATATATGT